AATATCTAGAATAACTGATATCAGTTTCAGTAAAATGAAAGTACAATATTAACAATATCTAGAATAACTGATATCAGTTTCAGTAAAATGAAAGTACAATATTAACAATATCTAGAACAACTGATATCACTTTCTGCAAAATGAAAGTACAATATGAACAATAACTAGAATAACTGATATCAGTTTCAGTAAAATGAAAGTACAATATGAACAATATCTAGAACAACTGATATCACTTTCTGCAAAATGAAAGTACAATATGAACAATATCTAGAATAACTGATATCAGTTTCAGTAAAATGAAAGTAAAATAAAACAAAAGAATTAATGTACTAGAAATCAGTAAAATTATTGTTTGCAAGAGTTTTCTCACGTGATAATTATTTAAAGCAGTTAAAGAATCAATATTAAACCAAACACCGTACTTAGCTGAGCATAATGTTTTCTTAAAATTTTATTGGTCCACAAAACAACAATAAGAAGTCTAACATTACACTTTTAAAAAAATTACTGATTTACTAACACTGTCTAGAAGAGCTTTTTATTTTAACAATAGGGTGAACAAGGTGAAAGAGGCAGCCCAGGGGAGAAGGGTGAACCAGGGTTGCCGGTAGGTTAAGATTTTTTTACAACAACTTAAATTTTTTATGATTAATGCAGTACAGTTTCATAATGACAATTTTAAAAAGTGTTTTTTTTTATATCTATTCTTTGACTCTTGTGTTGAGAGTTAATTTATTTTGTAATTTCAACTGTTCTTGTGTGTTTATTCTAAAGTGAGCTTATATTGAACAAACTGGTTTCTTAAGCTCAAAACGTACTACAGGAAAATGAAACTTATCATGGAGAGAGGCTTATGAGTATCTAAACGAGTACCTGAAATATATTAAATCCTGGAGTAAAAAATAGGAACTCAGGAATTTTGAATAAAATACATTGTGATGTTCTTCATGTAGATAGATTATACAAGGTGATTATAAAGAATATACATATACTTAAAATAATTGTCTTAAATAAATAATATATATATACACAGCGTGGTCACAAG